ATATTTACTTAAATTACAAGGAAATAATTCTTTAACAAATCTTTCTTTACAAGGAAATAACTATTTATTAATGAGATTTGTCATTCGTTAAGACAATTTAGATAAGATCCTATTTGATAACACAGTTCAAAAAACAATATTTACTGTTCTTCAAAGAACTATTTTCCCCTTCATAATGCTTTTTTCTAAATGTTATTTCCATTTCTTAAAGCTGCGAAGGCCACTACAGACCACTTCAGCGTAGGCTATTATACTCTACATTAACTTAATCTATACATTAAATTATGGAACGTTGATCGTTTTTACTAAAATCGTTCCATACTTTAACGTATACATTAACCTTAACGTTCCATACTTTAACGTATACATTAAGTTAATGTAGGGTAGTATACCCTACATAAATTTAATGTATACGTTAAAGTATGGAACGTTATTCGTTCAGCAAAAACAGAGATTTTTAAATGAATTATATTTTTCCAAAATTTTCTTAAAAATATTGAAGTAAATAATAAACAAGTCCAGAAATGCTCGGTGTGAAATAGACTTACCATGACCAGTATTATACAGGCTTGGACAGCTGGCATTATTACAATATAGTAAATTTGAATTCGCATTTCAATAAATTGTTGCGCACTAATAAATATTAAGAGTGAATCGCTTGAAAACAAGTATTATTAAAGCCAACTCAACGTTTTTACGATTTATTTATAAAAAAAATTTAAAAAATTTCTATCTGAACTTTTTTTATCGTAACTTCAAAGATATTTAAAGATTTAAAAAATGGTTCTTAAAAAGATGTCGGAAATCTGTCATATAAACGTTTTCATAATCTGCTTTTATAAATAATATTTTCTTTTCGTCGTTTGTCTTCTATTTGCCATTCTTCTTTTTTCCGTCATTCTTCTTTTTTTTTTTCTTATTTATTCGAAAGAAAATTGATACCCTATATAAACAACTTTATACATATTAATAAATAAAACGGAGCGACTATTCGCACGTTTTTCACGCACGAATAGACTATATTTAATTATAGTCTATTCGCACGTTTAATTAAAAAAAGGTAAAGATTATCAAATTTAAAGGGAATTTAAAAAAATTCGATTTATTAATATTGGTTTTTAACTTTAAAATTAAACTAGCACAGTGCTGTACTAACGCAGTACTTACGTTGACGAATTTTGAAGGATAAACGCACTGTAATGTATATACATATTGACTGCTTATCTAGGGATGGGCACAATGTAGTATAAATACAATGACGAGGGTTTTGGCTTGAGCAGGCAATCTTTTAAATCTTTTTTTTTTCTAAATGTTTATTTTATCTATTGGCATATATTTTTTTTTTAATAAAAAAATAATTATGCTTAAGTAATTTAATTTATTTCTATTATAATTGATTAAAAAAATTAAATTGCTTTCAAAACATATGACTTGAGTTATAAACATTTTTCGCTTTTGAGAGATTTCATATTAAAAATGTAACTTGAAATTTTCTTAAACGAATACGAATAGACTACAATAAGATTTTTTATGAAAAACACGATGTATCTACCTTTCTTAACTCCAATCTTTTAAAAGAATAGAATCGTCCTAAAGTAAAATATAATAAAAAGAAGTACAGTAAAATTTATAGTAATCAAAACAAAATTTTGTTTAAACTATGAATAGTAAACTTTTTCAAATCTAATTACTCTAATAAACCGACTTTAATAATCAGGACCCACACAAGGCTTTTGAACTAAAGGGATCAAGATTTAGTGATGCAGTTGAAAAAACTTAAGAGAATTATTTTTATTCGTTTAATCGTTAAGGGTCAACTCTAACATGGTCAAAAAAAAGCTTTATCTGCTTTATCTACTTTTATTTATTTATTTAACTTTATTTATCGGAAGATTTTACAAATATATTGTATACACCAAGTCACAGTAAAATACTGAACTATATACCAATGATGGTGAATTTATACCACATGTAAATTTGTTCTAGTTATTATAGCCATTTTAATTTTATTTATGACATATTTTTTATGGGCATTATATTGCATTGCACATTCTAATTTTTTTCTTAAAACTTTTAATGTTGGTCGAGGTAAAAATGTCTCTTGGGATAAAGCTCCAAACTAATGGTCCTAGATAGCAAAGTGAAAGTTTTCCATACAATTCCGAATTAATTCAAGCAAAGTGAAAGTTTTCCGTACAATTTGAATTAATTCAAGCAAAGTGAAAGTTTTCCGTACAATTCCGAATTAATTCAAGCAAAGTGAAAGTTTTCCGTACAATTCCGAATTAATTCAAGCAAAGTGAAAGTTTTCCGTACAATTCCGAATTAATTCAAGCAAAGTGAAAGTTTTCCGTACAATTCCGAATTAATTCAAGCAAAGTGAAAGTTTTCCGTACAATTCCGAATTAATTCAAGGAGAACTAAAGTAAGCATTAGTTCGTGTATTGAGCGTTTTCAAATTAACGAATATAATGTCACTAAGTGAGATTTCATAAGGATCATTTTTAATTTTGAACATTTCTATAACTAAAAACTGCAAATTTTTTTGATGTACTAAGACAGAGTTATCTTTTTCTAAAAGCTTTTTAAATGTGTATTCGTAATCATTGTATGTCAATCGAAGAGCCCTTGTATGCAACTTATTAATTTTCCATTTGTTGCTTTACTGCAACACATCCACCAAGAGGACATTACATGAACTGTGATTTAAAGAAGGCGTTTTATAACTATTTTCTTTTCCTGAAGGTCGAGATACTTAGCTACTCTTTTAAGAATGCTAACTTTTTGATTCGCTTGATTTTGCTAAGCTAATTTGCTAAACTAATGCTAAGCTAATTTGAAAAGGTAATGCTAAGCTTTTGATTCGCAGACTTGAGTAAGATGTTTATTGAAATCTTTGTTGTCTATAGTTATTTCAAGTCTTCCCAATTTGATTACGATCAATATGTGCCCAAGTTATTTCATGTTTATGTCCTGCAATTATTAAATGACATAGGATTAAGTTTTAAAAAGTTACATTTGAACCATTTTACAATGGCTTAGTATTATCCTCAAGTTTATTGAATTGAACATGCACGTCATTCTTTATTACATATCAGGTTTATATTATTAATTATACTAATCAGGTTTCCAAAGAGAATTCGCTTTTTTTTTGCGTTGTACAAATATTTTAATTTGCAAAATTTTGTAGAAAGCATCATCATCAGCCAATTAAGAACAAACACAACCAACTCTATAAAGATTATTTTTTCTTATAATTCACGCTTAACTAGATAGCGTGGCCCTGGCCACCAATCAGGTGGCGTGAGCCCTGATAATATCTTTATTAAACTTTAAAAAAAACTTTGAAAAAAATTTTATAAAAAATTTATTACATAGTTTTATAACATGTGAATATATAGTATAGTAATAAAATATTGATTGATAAAAAAAAATGTTTTTTTAATAACTTACAGTTTTTTTATTTAACTGATTTTTATTAACTTGATATTTTGATTTTTTGTAGTAGTTCGGAATAAATGTTTGAAAAAAATCTTCATAATTAAATAAAAGACTGTCTTCAACAAATTTTTGTTCTTCGGACAATATACCTAAATGGCAACATTTCCCAATGAAACAAACTATTTTAATTAAAAATCTATTATAACACCATTTATAAAGAATTACAAAAATTTATAAACACTCTGAGTTATTCGAACTCACAGATAAAAAAAAAAAAGTTTTTTTTCGATAAAATAAAATTACAAATTCATTAAAAAAACAGCCTACATTGAAAAATTAAAGAAAAAAGTGACCCAGTAACCACTGTGAAACTCACGCCAATTGCAGCATACCAAAGATAAGAAACAGAGTACCATGACGAAAGCATCGAATTAATGCTGAACATAGACAAAATAAAAATGTAAAAAAAAAAGAAATGCTAAAATAATACATTTTGTTTCATATAATGTTTTTAATTATAGAGGAGAGTGATGTAAAATGGACTACATACTAAAACATAACATAGTTAACAAGCTGCACACTAACAAAATTTACAAATGATATAGTTTTAGAAAATTTAAGGTGTATGCATGTATTACATTAAAAAAAAAAACATTTAATAAAGAGATGCTAAGGATCCTTTTTACCCTGTAGTTAGCGAAAAATAATTAAATGCCCATCTCATCCAATTAAATTCCCATCTCATCTCAACCAATAAAGAAAAATTAAAAAGTTTTGTTAAAGAATTGATCACTTAACCATATAGTAAATACATAAAACTTTTTAATCATATAAAAAATTGACAATTTGAGGAAACTCAAATAAGGGAGACTATGCAATTGATAATCTCTTTTTTGTAAATAAGTGAACAAAACCACCATATCAAAAACACCCACTCACAGTTGTTTGTAATAGCAGACATTAGTTAGGCATTGTTTAGTGCTTTAGTACACAACATCACTTGTTTATTAACGTAGCTTAGTCTTTGGCTTTACTTAGTGTCTAGGAAACCTAAGAAAAAAAAAGCTAGCATAAAATTGCCTGATGTACTTATGCAGATTTGCACTGTAACCATCAACATCATAAATTCAATTTGGAACTAGTGTTGCTTTTCCCTCGCCTGTTTCGTCAACAATATAATTTCGATGTGGAAATAGTGATGCTTTTCTTGCAATCATTGCAATAAATCAAAAAACTCTCCAACACTAGCTTGATTAAAGCCATGTTCTCCTGCTGCATAAGTTAACTTATAGCATTCTTACAGGCATTTTTGGAAGTCAAGTTAAAAAGCCAATCATCACCAGCTTTTTTGAATAAAATTTTTAATGGAGATATAAAACTTGAGCAAATTGGTAGGCAACTCTATAGTGAACTTTTGGTGTTGAAAAAAAATTCATTCTATATGTTTTATATAAGTCATTAACTCATTTTCCATTGAAACAGAAAACACGCATTCTTCTGAACCAAGCAACTTTCCTAACAATTGGACAGGGTTCAACTTCTGTCTGTACCTTTTTTGCAACTCTACCGAATACTAAACTGCTTCCATACTTTTTTTAAATCACAATTCGTCCTTATTATAGCCTCAGTAACTGATTATATTAAGCTCTCATTCCAACACTGTTATGTGATTTAAATTTTTACAAAGTTGTTACAAAATATTGTTAAATATTTTGTAAAATTATAAATTTGTTATTTTTATTACATTACAGTTATATCATTATATTAAACAATATAATGTAATCTTTTTTTTATTGTTTTATTGTAATAAAATAGTGATATCTCATCAATAAAATAAGTAATAAAATGGCAAGTGTACATAATAATATCCAATAAAAATTACCTAATAATTAATAATTTTAAATAACAATTAAATAACTAAATATAGTTATACTTAGTTATAATCTGCTTACACCCTAATTTTTGCTAGATAATTAGTAAAGAATTGACAATAATTAGTAGATAATTAGGCATTTAAAATATATTCATTAAAGCTAATAGCTATTCGTTCAAGCAATGTTTCTTTATAAATATAACTTTAATTTTATTTTAAACATATTGTTTGAGTTGAAATGTACTTTGCTCATTAAGAATATTGTATTTATGATTTCTTCTATTTAAGTGTTTCGATTATAATTCGTCGTTATAGTTTTATATGGTTAAAAAAATCAAATGTTCGTTTGTAAATGATTATGGAGCTTCTTATAAACAATCATATACCCAAGTAAGAAATCGGATTGAAGATACTGACAGGAATGATCATAAATTACTTGTAAAAGAAATAAACTTGAACGAAGAACAAATTACTAATATATGCACATATTATCGCGATATGTTAATAGTGAGATATGAGAGTAATCAGAAAAGTTGCTGTAATTCATTTCTGACTCACAAAAAAGTGTGTAGAGCTGAAAGTATATATATTTACCTTTTAATGGGAAATAACATTCTTAATATTATTCACAAAAGTTGTTTATATGTTTTTTGTAATGGGATTTGTTCATTTTTTTATAATAACAGTATAACTAATGTTATAGTATTTGAGTAATATAATTATAATTTCTTTTCAGCATCTCTACTTGTGATAACAATGCATACTGTATTAGTAGCAGAAACCGTAGGTTTAAATTTTATACCTGGAAAAAAAGTTGTGTACAACCTGTCGAAATAAAGTTATGAAACATTTATCAAAAAGTATGAGTGAAAGTAATGATGAAGATTTTGATATTGTTAGTAAAACATCCATTCAAAATAAAAAATAGGGTGAGAATACACACTTTACAGCTGCTTGAGTATCTCCTATTAAGGTCAAAAGATTTCTCCTAATAAGGTCAAAAGAAAGTAAACCAAAATTGACAGCATTAACAACCTCCATTAAAAAAAATATAGCCACTCCTTAATATACCAGAAGAAAGTTTTGATGAACAGTCAAGTTTCGGTAATGAATTTATGGAAAAAGTAATGAGTTTATGGAAACTTGTTTAATAACATGATGGTATTGTTAACTAATAAAATTGCAGAGTCTACAGCAACATCAAAAAATACAACTGACAATGCTTGCTCCAACTGACTGAGCAATAAAAAGTTTCTAAAACATTACATGTAACAAACTATGTAGCTCGAACTGCACAAATATTTGCATTAGAAAAAGGTATTTTAGCCATGCCTAATCCTAAATTAGAAAAAGTTCTTCCTGATAAAACAGTTCAACTGGTCAAGCCTTTTATGAATTTAATGAATATAGCCATATAATGCCTGGTAAAAAGGACTATGTAAGCATACAGAAAAATGTTCAGATAAAAAAACATTTACATGTAATTTAAATGATTTTTTTGATGCTTTTAAAACCATGAACCTAGAAATAAAAATTTGGTTTTTCAATGATTTGCATATTGCAACCAAAATGGTGTATTGCTGCTAGTGCTTCAGAAACACATTCAGCATGCGTCTGTGCTATTCATCAAAATTTAAAACTACTTTTACATCCTCTTTTTGTGACATACAAAAAACTGTTACCTTATATTATATGTGACATGACTAAAAAGGACTGTATGATGCGTAAATGTGAAAGATGCCCAGCAAATATGATTGCATTGGATGAAAAACTTTATAATTTAACTAGAGTTTGAAGTTGACAAAAAAGTAGAAGTTCATCAGTGGACAATAACAGATTTTTCAGAAAACTATGAGTTTGTAGTTCAAGATGAAGTACAAAGCTTTCATTGGACAAATTTACAATGTACACTACATCCTGTGATTATTCATTTCAAAAAAGAAGGTTTTCTCAATCAATAATCTTATTGTATTGTTTCAGATGATATGATGCATGATGTGAACATAGTGTATAAAGTTATTGATATTATCTGCATTGATATTAAAACAAATCTACCTCAAATAAAAAAACATTGAGCGCTTTACAGATAGGTGTGAAGGTTAATATAAGAATTTTAAAAATATTTTGAATTTTTGTTTCCATCTTGAAGATTTCAGTCTTTCTGCTAAATGTAACTTTTTTGCATTTAGTCACGGTAAGAACCCTTGTGATGGGATAGGTAGAATAGTCCAACGTTTAGCAACACTAAAAAGCTTGCAAAGAGATATGGGTAATCATATTTTATCTCCACAAGCAATATAAAAATATTGCAACGAAAACATTGACGGTGTACATTTCATCTATATATCATCAGAAGATTTAACTCTGGTTAGAAACACTCTTAAGGAATACCATACTTAGAACACGTAGTTACCATCAGTTTGTACCACTTGGCCATCAAAAGATTAAAAAATATATATTTAATATACTTTTTATTATCTTTAAAAAACATGCATAATTTGTATTGATAAGCTTGAATAGATTTTTTATTTGTGTAGAATTATTGTCAAAATTATTTTTTGTTTTATTTCGGACTTAAATTATAGATTGCCTGACTTTTAAAATATCATAAAATTATGTTCATATCAAACCTCAATAACCCTCAAGTAAACGTAAGGCAAAAAAAAAATTGGTTCATTAAGTTGATATACATCTAATCTTTAAGAAAATAAAAATAATATATTTTTTTATCAATCAGATTTTTATTATAGCTAACGTGTATTATAACGTTATATAATAGTTAACGTAATAACGTTATATAATTGTCAATGCCCATTTTATAGTCATTATTATGTACATTTTATGAATCCTATAATAAACTACATTGTCTTGCTTCAAGAGATAAAAAAACAAAAGTTTTCCGACATAACAAGTTTAAAGCTCTTTTGGTACCAAGTTTCAGAGTCAATCATTACTAAAAGCACTATATAGTGATAATAATAAAGAGAAACATTTTTGGCACTTCCCCCACCACTCCCCTCATTTTCAGTCAATATCAAACAAACTTCAAGTTGCTGTAAATCTTAAACGCATAAGAACTTTATAAAAAAAATTTACAGTCTTTCCTAAGATATGTCTCTAAACATTTGTGCCAAATTTTAGAAAATTTGGTGATGAGGGTGCAGATTCGTGTTTTTTTGTGTTTTTTGAACAAATTTTACTCTATAATCTAAATATATTAATACCGTAAAAATTCAATGTTCAATGTCTTACGCTTTCGTTTTTAAAGCAGTTTTAATTAGTTACTAATTACAGTGCGTTCTCAAAATGCACGCGGTCATAAAAGAAAGATCTACCAAGCGAGTTAAAACTTTTTACCTTTGGAACTGAATTATTATTTATTAGTTTTGAAATATTACATAAAAAATCATATTAAGATGAATAATCATCGTTAAGATCATATTATAATTAAAGTAAGTGTAGAAATTAGTTTAGCAATTTATATATTACATTTTTATTAGAAATAAAGTAGAAAGGATCACTCGAAGGATCACTCCTTTTAATTTTTTAAATCATTTACATTTTGTTTGTTTTAGTTTTTCTTTTAGCTTTATTTTTTTATAGCAGTTTTGTTTCTATTGAGCATATCTTCTACTTTTTAGAAGGAAGATAGGAGTATGGTTGAGGCCTAATAATGTTTTATGCATTTTTAATGCAACAAAAAAGTTATACTAATGCTATTTCAATAAAATTGTTTATTACTACCTTGAAATTTCTGTAATGCTATTAAATGATTTTGCTCCTTTTTAGAAAATTTAGAAAAATAAATTAAATTTTTGTGCCAACACTTATATGTCACATGTTGTTGTATGTAAAGATTACATTTTTGTTATAAGGATTTTGTTATACAGTTCTTATGGAAAAAAAAGGTAAAGAGTATTGTTTGTATATATTTATATTTTGTTTATTTTAAAACTTTTTAAATTTTCTCATGTCATTTTTAATATTATGCACAATTGTTGCACAATTGCAAAATTGTTTGCACAATTCAAGTTATATATGTTTATTGTTTGCATTGCTTTTTTGATAAGTATGTGTATATTGTAATTTTTGATAATTATGTGTATATTGTAATTTTTGATAATTATGTGTATATTGTGCTTTATAGCTGTTTTATCGATGTGTTTTTATAATATTGTAACATCTTTTTTTATTGTTTGTGTATGTGTTAATATGTGTTATATAATTTTTTATAAATGTGTTTAAATATCAGTATATAAGGTTAAACATATATATTGTGTTTATAGTTGGTCTATATGTTTATATTATGTTATTTCCATGTGACTTGGTAAACGTGTAAAGCAAGATTTGTCAAACTTGCCAACCAAGCCATGCACTTACTGCAGAGGGTTGCACAGCAGTGTTTAATTTCAAACTGTTAAAAACTTAGGTCTAGGTGTTTTCAAGCCTTTATTAATAATTACTCTGAAAAAACATAATAATGTATTTTAACAACATTTTGCGTAATGTTGTTACTTATGTTCTGTTATATATGAATGTTATGTTTCTTAAGTTATGTTATATGCATATTATATGAACTTATGGTGAATGCTATTGTTGTTGTGATGTTGTTTTTTGTAATCTTTTGAGTTGATATACATTTGGCTTACCTTCAAGTTGTTGTCTATTGTTAAAAATGATACATAGGTAATTTCATTATTAGACCTCACTGCTTTGAATCATTCACTAAAAGCCTACTACTCTGCATTATATATATTCACTAAAAGCCTACTACTACTACTCTGGTAAATCACATCAGCTTTACTCTATCAGGTACAATGATTTCTTTTTTTTTGTATGTAATGTTTTTCTTATTTACTTATTTGTTACATTTTTTATTTTAGATTTATCAAATGATGTATTTATATGGTATAGAAGATTTTTTTTTTTTTTTTATGTTGTAAATTTTTGTAATTTTTTTGTTTAAACTTGTAATTTTTTTTGTTCTTAATTTGTATTTTTAACTTGTATTTTTTTTAATAATATACTCTGTTGTATATTTGATTCGTTTTCATCTTTAAAAATAATATACTTTGCTGCTTTTAAAATTTACTATATGCCAAGACAATATATTTAGCTATATAAATGCAATTAATTTATATCTCAATTTGATTTTTTATCTTAAATGTTTATAGGTTAGCTCTATAAAGCATTTTGCTTTTTAATTTAAATATTTTAAATATATTGTGATATCTTCTAAATTAAACTAAAGTTTACTGAAAGCCAACATTAAATAACGTCATTAAACAACACCGACAAGAACTGCTGCATCATGACAGCAACTGAAGTATGATAACAGGTTACCAAAAGCAGGTAAATTGTTTTCCAGTCATTTTTTTTTCTTTTTAATGTCTACTTTTTTTTATTCTTTTTCTATGCCTACTTATTTGTAACAATTTTTATTTTAGGTTTGTCATATGACGCAATATAAAACATCAAAGTTAACATTTTTTTAAAAATTTGTTATACACATTTTTGAATGTAAATTACTTTTTTTTTTTTTTTTGAAACGTATTTGTACTCAATTACTTAGTTATCTTTAATAAATTTATTTAGTTAAGTGTATTTTAACGTTGTTAAGATAACAAATTTTTTTTTCTAAAGAAAAATTTAACCTGAGAGGGGATACCAAAAGTTAATAACTTCTGTATAATTAATATAAGTTAACTTCTTGATAACCTTAATAAATAATTAAGGTTTATGTTATAAAAAATATTACAAGAAATTAGTTGATATTTAAAAAGAATGGCGAAGTGTTATTATTTTGTGTTGAACTTAGAAATAAAAAATAGTCGATAAAAAAGTTGTAAATTACTCCAATGTGTTAAATAATAATTGGTAAATTATTTTACCTCCTCGTACTTATTATGTTAATTTTACCGAGAGATAAATTTGTTCAATTTAAAGGCGTTTTTCTAAAAGGGTATTAGTTAAAAAATTGCAACTTTAAATTGTGGAAAACAACCACTATAAATTAATTATGTAACAGACCGAACATAACCTGTATTACGAGTTACTTTTTGCTAGTTACCATTATTGCCTTAAAATAACAATAAAAAATTCTCTTTAAAATAATAATTTCCATTATTATTTCTCAATACTTTGCTAAAATACTTTGTTTTAAAATCATAGAAATAATATTTAAAGTGTTCTATTACTTTTCAACCCATTTAAAGTGTGTTATTACTTTTTATTGCAAAACAAATTGTTAATCAAGATTTTTAATATTAGCTTTTTGTATTTAGAAAGAACTCTGTCAACAAAATACTCAAAGATTTTTGCTAAAAACAATAATAAAAAAAAAAATTATTTTTGAATGGTTTTCCTAAATGTTTATGGTCTGTTGCACAATATTTTACAGGTAATGTTAAAACATTTTTTGCTGAAGCAAGAAATTTAGTAGTTGCTGGTTCACATGAGGGACTCATTATACACCCTTCTTCCCTAATATATCCCAACAAACAATGCAATTATTTTTAGTAAAATATAACATATATATATATATACTATAAAAATTAGGATATACTGGTTTAGAAACATATTTTTTCATAAGTTAACAAACTAAAAAAATATCTAATATAATGCAACGTTAGTCTATAAATACAATTAGCAACACATAATCCAAACAAATAATTAATAAACATAAGAACTTTTTTACTTAGGTGTTTTATATACAGGTCTAATCTCTCCGCTTCCTTTTTGCCAATCCATGGTTGCATTAGTACTGTTAAAACCAAAACACTTATAGACATGTATTACAGCTTCACGTTTGTTTGGAGGATACATCAAAGCACCTATGGCTAGCCATAGTGTAGAAAATACACCAAACAAAGCACCACAATAAGCTCCCTAACATAATAATATTTATAATGAAAAGTTTATAAAGTAAAAAATTTTATAAAAAAAAAATTATTTGCATAACAAATTACCCTAATAGTTTTAATTACGAAAGTTATTATTAACAAAAATAATGATAATAAAATAAAAGTTATTACAAACTAAAAAATAAATGCTTGAGAAAAAATCTGACTATTGTTACCTTTGCATTAGAGAATGGAACCATTATTCCGAGAAAAAATAAACCTAAATAAGGACCTCCAACAATACCAAAAATACTATATGCTAGCTAAAAAAAATGAAAATTCAT